TTTCTGATTATTGAGATTTATCATTTTATAGTACATTTTAATCAGAATATGTCATCTGCAGTTGAATCAGCAGATATTTCGTACTCAACAATATATCTAATTCTTCGGAGAACCATAACTTGGGACAATAATGTCACAAGAAATTGGAAGTGGATGTTAGCTTTGTCTCTCATCTCATCTCATCTCTTACGTACGCGCTTGGTTGACGTTTATATCATAAATAATGTGTGCACTCACAGTAAATTTTCTAATCTGATTAAACTATCAAACTTACCTTACTAAAGTTACAGTTCCATACATTATCTGCTTCTTTAACGTAAGCTTGCGTATATTTTATAAAATATATGATGTATAGTGTATTTATGAAATAATACAAAGTATACATACTGACTTAAATTTTACAACTAAGTTTGAAGTTTTATTGCATTTTATAAAAAATAATTTTTTTTAAGTATTTTTGACAAAATAATTTTTATAGATTATTAAGAAAAATATAAAAATGGATAACACAAAAATTGCAATTTTTATTTTGGATCACGTGATATTAGTTTAGAAACCAGATTCGTAGTTTCATGCAACAAATAATTAACCATGAAAGAAAAGCGATCACAAGATCCTTGGTCAAGGTGAATGGTCGACGGGCATTAAAGTTTTAGGGTCACGTCGACTGGAATGCGCGCAGGTGCGGCAACATCTTGTATCGCCAGGTAGAACTTTCTTCTTTCTTTCGTTCGAGGTCATCGTGGTGACATGCGTTGAGAGAAATCAACGAACGAAACACTCTTCGAACGATATATTATTAAGATATTTTTTAAATAGAAATTCTCTTATCAGTTTTAATTATCTCATTTTAGTTATATATATTAATAGTAAAAGTGTATTTTCTTCATTATATAAATACTGATAAACATCATCAAGGTGGCATACTACAGAGAATTTTAAAACTTCTGATGGTTTTGATATACAAACCAATAAAGTTTTTTAAATTTATATCTTTCTCATCTAGATGTTTGTATTTTTTAATGTTTGTATTTTTTATCGTACTTTTTAATCTATCTTTACATATTTAAATTTATTTGTATTTAAAATAAATATATGAGAATTAATTAAACATAAATTTAAAAGCTAATAATTTATATTCATCATATAATAAAGACCAGTACATATAATGAAGCGATCAGTGCAAGTACGATATGCAACAAGATACAGAACAATGATTATTCCAGTATTCCAATGTTCATTTCATATATTAAGCGTTAATACCTATGGGCAAATGGTAACAGTATTGGAAAATCTAGTAAGTGTCGATCTGTACAATTTATCAGCCCCAACTGGCTTGTCACACCTGATCTCCTGCTAAATCGTTCGCACATCCGGCAATCCGCATATACCGCAGCTGGCTCGATTTGCAACGAACAACCAGAAGTGACTCAATAAATTAATATCTCATATAAGTTTACTCACTCAAGTGAAGAGAAAATAATAGAGAAAATTAATATAAATAAAATAATTTATAGCACTTATATATATATATATAATACAGTAATATAATATAATATAATATAATAATACAGTTATATATACAAAATTACATACCTTGTAATAACATAATTTTACGTAAATTATGTAATTTGTAGTAAAATTTTCATAATTTTAAATAACTTTTATTATTATAAACAAAAAATTTTATTAAAATATGTCTATACAGCTTCGTAATGCGTTATTCCATAAAAACATCTTATGATTAGAAAATTGATCATTTGTAATGATTAAACGTTAAGTTTTAAAAAATAAAAACGCAAAGATACTATTTACTTCAAACAAGTATAATCAGTTCTTTGAAATAGGTTTATTCAAATGTATGCAAGACGTAAATGCATGATGGGCTTCCCTTTCAATCGACTGATGACTTCTTTTCCAATCGACGAACCGGCTTGACAAACATCACTTACATAATTAAGGATGTCTTTCAATGCAAAATGCACGACCCTCTATTCTTACAATATGTAGATGTTGTTTCACCAATGACACCTATTATATTGTGATGAACGTTTTCACTAATACATACATAGTAATCGTGACGAATCGACGCCAATCTTCCGCACGCATCTCCTGTGACGAAACTCAGTACTTATTCAAGCTACAGGACATGTGCCAATATACATGTTACACGCCAAATTGCGCCAACTTTTCATCATTGGAATTATATATCTTTACGTTATTATAAATATAACAAAAGTTATAACAAAGCATATAAATTTTTTTTATATTAAAAAAATAAATTAGTATCTCTTAGAAAATTTACAAATGTTATTTAAAATGTTATTTGGTGTGTGTGTGTGTGTGTGTGTGTGTGCGTGCGCG